GGAATCTCACACCGTGTTCTCTTTCCCCCTCCTCTCCGAATCCCTACATCCCAACGCTCGCCTAGGTGGCGCGGAGACTAGCTCAGCAAGAGTGGCAGCTGTGCGCAAACCCCAGCCTCTGGCCCCGAAGCTGCGCGTTCCTTTGTTGGGAGATACTCACTGCTCGGCAGCTGCCACAGACTACGTGGAGTTCAGGCACCTCTCCCCGCCCCCAACACCCTCTGTTTCGCTGGTGAGCACTGCCCACTTTGCTGGCAGAGTTCGGAGCTCACCCTTTGCCCCACCCCAAGACTGTTCGTCGTCTCCCCAACCCTTGGAGAGTTGGGCCGGTCCGCAGGGGCTGTACCCGGAGTTGCAGCTGAAATTTCTCACGGCTCCTTCTCCACTTGGAGCCTCAGCCCTGAGGTGGACAGCCCTGCTCTTCCCAGGGTCTGGTGGTGGCTCTGGGCTTTTGCCAGTCACGGTGGATCTTTTGACCGTAAGCGTCACCTTCCAAATAAACGGAACAAAGAAGTTACAAAGGGCGGCGGAGCAGAAGAGTGAGACTAAGGAGAGGAGGTGGGAGGGCCGTTCTGCCTGTTGGCAGCTCAGAAATATCGGTTCAAGCCTGGAGCGGGTGTTAAGCCCAGCAACTGTCGGGGAAGCCGCGCGCCTTCTTGGGTCCCATTCCTACGACGTTAGGTCGAGGGAGGGAACCCAGTCCCTCGGATTGAGAACAAGGCGCTGTTTCCAGTCTGAGACAGGCTGATGGTTCTCTTTTTCCTCTAGGGGCAGGAGAGGTTCCCCGTGGTAAAGTCTGACCTCTCATTTTTCCACTAGCAGCCTGCCCAATCTCTTTCATAGAGCGCCGCCTCTTACAGGCATCAGAGCATTCCAGCCAGGTCAAGGTGAAATATGCGGGAGTTTCCCTCCTTCTTATTTGTTTAATAGTTTCCATCTCCATATTTGGAGTAAAAAAACAAGTAGGAGGCTTTCTCGCTCTTTTTTTTTCTTTCTTTCTGTTTTCTAATTGTTAACTGAGTGAATGGAAAGTACCTGGTTAATAAACCACATTAAAAACTCCCCCTTTTCAGGTGTGGACTGCACGTTGGGGCCCACAGGATTAGCTAAGCAAACCAGGAACGCAGCTGGAAAATTACAAGTGCCCTGGATCTACAAAGCAGGTCCTCTTGAGAGACCAAATGAATGACCCAAACCTGAAAAAACTGATGCTTGTAAACGTAATTCCACTCTTGGCAATGTACTCTACATAGAATTAAATCCAGCCCAGCTTCATTTTTTATTTTCCTTCCTTAGTTCCAAGTTTGAACAGCTATAGTTTTGTTTTCAGTGGTCTTAAAGGAAGGATCCTGAAAAATGGCTGGAGTGGGGATGAGGATTTGAAATTTGAACACAAAAGGAACATATTCAAGCTTTGATTAGGAACTCTTCAGTGAGGCAGCATGTGTATTCTCCAGAGATTAGTTCACTACCCTAAGGAATGCAGCCACCCTTGAGACAGTGCAGTGCTACAATAAAGAAAAAAGGTCAGTCCATAATCCCTATAAGGATGTATGTGTAAGTACACTCTGCATTGTTGAGTGACTGTCACATCAGAGTTTCATGACATTTTTAATTCTAATTCTTAGTGTTGGAAATGTAAATGGAAGTTACAATATTAAATAAATTTATGCAAATAATTAAAGTAACTGAAATATGATAAGGTATGTACAAATTTTTTAAACTCTGTATTGTTAGATGTTGATATATTCTATATACTAAGCCAAAACAACTGTGTAGCAAGAGGAATAAAACAAAGCTTGTAAATCGGTGAGCTTGTAGATTTTGAAGCCCTTTGGAAAGAAAGAATTCTGTGTTGTGTTATATGAAGCCCATGCAAATATATGTCAGTATACCAGTTTTATGGAGATGTTGAAGAATAAGCACACCTCCATATATTGTCACTCCCCAGTTGCAAAGAGGTTATAATTCTGATTATAAAATAAGAGAATATTGCAGCTGTGAGACTATGATCCTTGCAAATTATTTACTAACAAATTATCTGTACATTTGGGGCTGTAAAGACAAAAGGGAATTCTCCTGAATCTTGCAAATCATCTGTAAGGGTTCCTTACAGTAAATATAACTAGTGGCCCAGGAGCAAAAAGTTTGCTTGTTTCCAACCACAACAAAAAAAAATGTCACCACAACTCGTCCTTTTTCCTATAAGAAAATGTACAGGATATTGTGAAGAAATGTAGTATTATTCTCTTCATATATTACCTGAAGAATTCTAACAGAGAAAAATGTTCCAGAAGGTGGTGACTTGAGTAATTTTTGTTTCTTTCGTGTTCTGCTGTCTTGCTTTGAAATTTCTGACAGGTGATTTTTCATCATTTGTGTTAATGAGAGCAAGTGAAATTCACAGATAGTCTAAAAATAACATTTTAGCTATTCATTTCAGGCTTCCTATCATCAGAATCTTTTAGTTGATAATAAGTCATAAAATTGGATGAATTAAGTTTCTGACTTACTACTCCTTTAACCTTGATTTCTCACTAATAGTTTATGGTGAGAAATGAATAAGCTATAGACAGTTAACAGGAGTGAGAGAGACATCTGAGAGACTGACTGCTCCTTTTAGTGTGTGTTCAACTTTAAGTAGATTTTGTCCAAATTATTGACCCCATAGTTACAGCTAAAACCATATTCACATTTTAATATTGTATCTTTCTGAAGTTGGATCAGAGATTTTCAAAGTTTTATACAGAGGTTTTAAGCTGATGTTCACAAGTTGTCTGCTTCATCTACAGCTTTTAGGAGATGAATGATCTGAATGATCAAGCCAGTGGGATATAGTATTATGACTATGACTTCTAGATTCTTCCAATGATAAAGAATATAAGCCATCAGGAGGTTCAGGAGGTACTTTACAGAAAGTAGTGTTCCTCATACTGTGAACTGAGGACTGCCTACAACATAGTCACCTGTAGAGTGATTCCTTACTCTATTCCAGGAAATTCTGAATTCGTAGATCTGGTGTGATGCCCAGCAATATGCATTATTAGGAACTTCTCAAATACTTCTTTATTTACTGTGGTTTAAGAACCCCTGCCATAAAGGATTAATGCAGACTCCTCAAAGGCCTCATGTGTGCTTTGTGATAAACTCCAGTGTCAGGTGCAAAGTCAAAGAAAAGTGAACTGCTGGAGCCAATGCCTCTTTCCAAGGTATTCTATGGATGAATAACTGTGTGAGATGTTAATATTTTCAGAAATAAGACTTCCATGATTAAGTTTAGGAAATGCTGGGTTAAAGTTAAGTTAAATCCTTTGCTGGACAATGTTTTAGGAACTTAAATAGGCTAACATGCAATTGGATTCTCCAAAGGAAGAATCCTTTATTCAAAGAACATCTCATAGACTAATTTTACATAAAGCACACTGCTGAACTAATACTACTGTAGAAATGTGGAAACTAAAAACCAGGTTGATGAGGAGACTGACCTCACTTCTTCAAGAGAATTACTGAGCAAGCATGAATCAGAGCTCTGATTCTTCACCACCACCTCATATCAGTGATGACTTTTGGTTTCAAGTAAGAGTCAGACTGTAACTGTCATAAGTAAAAAAAAGGAAACTATTGGAAGGAAATTGGGAGCTCACAGAATTAGCAGGAGGCTGAGAGACCAGGATTAAATAAGGCCAGAAACCAAGGAAGGCATAAGCAGTAGCAGTAAGTCTCCAAAACATAAGAATGCTCTCTAATCATCCTTTCATCTTTGGACCACTTGCTTAAGATTCAGAATCCTGGTTGAGAATATCTAATTTTCAGAACTTTCATCACATGCCAGTCCCCTGGCTTTCTGGGAGTGGAGAGAAGGAAGGAGGAGCTCTTCTTCCCTTTGGCTTCCTTAGTGGAAAATAAAATACTATTTTCCAACAAGATGACACAAAATTATCTTAGGTTGATGAAGGAAGCCCTGTAAAGTGACAGATGCTCATTACTCACATATCCTGAATTCCATGGACTACTGCTTTGCATTACAGTTGAATTTTAGGTAATAATGCAGCTTTAATTTAACTACCCTACCCACTAACCAATGCTTTGGTTGGCAGTATTAGTTATTTTCACGGGTGCTTTTGAATGAAACATTTTATCTGTGCATAGTCAAATTCTAGCTTTCTGTTATCCTTCTATATATAGCATGTAGCAAATTAAT